GGGGGGGGAGAGAAAGGAAATGAAAGGAATGTAAATTTGAAGCAGGTGATTGCAGCCTTCCCCTCAGCATTTTGAGCTTCCCCTAATAGGAGCTGCGGTGGTTCAAGTGGTTAAGACGCTGAACTGCAGGCTGTGGAAGGTCAGTAGTTCAGCAGTTTGAGCCCCGGGTGCCGCATGATGGAGTGAGCTCCCGTCTCTAGTTCCAGCTCCTGCCAACCTAGCAGTTCGAAAGCAAGAAATTGCAAGTAGATAAATAGGGACCACTTCGGTGGGAAGGAAACAGCGTTCCATGCACCTTGGTGTTTAGTCATGCCGGCCACATGACCACGGAAATGTCTTCGGACAGCGCTGGCTCTTCGGCTTTGAAACGGAGATGCGCACCACAACCCTAGAGTCGGATGCGACTGGCTTTCGAGCAAGGGAACCTTTGCCTTTACCTTTAAATAGGACCAAACCTGTGTCTCCATCATGGCTATGAAGGTCAATGGGTGGTCTGTTTCCATTGTACAGCCAATTCCCCATAGCCATACTTTCAGCTTACTTCATTCGATGCTGGTCTTTGCTTTCCACATAATGGTTTACGCTGCTGGTGGGATCAGCCTGGATAATACAATTTCTAAAGCAGGATTCATGCAGTGAACTAGCATTAAGAATAATATCAACAATGAAACACTGGCCGCTTTTGCTCGATGCCTTTTTCAGCACTGCTAATACAATTCTTTTTTTCTGCACTAAACCAGAATTGGAGAATACCGAGCAAGGCTGGTCAGATACACAGCAGGACAGGGCTCCAGCACTTTCAGCAGTTGCCCTGGGGATTTCAGCAGATGCAGATTTTCTTAGCTCTGACAAATGTTCCTGCCAGACTCTTCTGCACAAACACCAACAGTCCACATGCCCTGTCCCCCTTGACATTGGTGGTTCACTCATCAAATCAGTGGGGGAAGCAAGAAGCATATTTCTTTAAGTCTTCCACATTGAGACCCACCCAAAGGAAGAAAAAGCCCTACAAAGATTCACTGATTCATTGCTTCACTGGCCTGCATTGAATGTAGCATGCCGCGCAGGCTAGTGAAGCAATTAATAAACTTTCATGAGTTGGAACTCACTTAGGCATTACTGTACACTGGAAACAGTATTTAGAGTTCAGCACTAAACCTCAAGACTTGAACACCCCACTAGCTTGAAGCCTCAGTTTTTCATCTATAAAATGGAATGATAGTAATGCCCTAAACTAGAGTGGTGTAGTTCATAAAATGGAGATTGTAAAAGACTTTTCAGATTAAAAAATGTTTGGAATTCATAATAATAATAACAAAAATCAAACCCCATCCAGAGTGTTGTATCCATCTAAAGAGAGTTGTTTGATGTCTAGTTTATAGTACAAATAATAAGGTTTCCATGGGTCTCCCATATAAAAAAGTAATTTTGCAGAGTTAATGGTTTAAAATCCCAAACCATTTTTTCCAGGTGGAACAGAGAAGCATTTGCCTGCCCTCTAGTGGATAGGTTAGCTAGTAACATAAATAGCAGTTCCTTTAATTCCTATAGGGTTCAATCCTAAAACTGGGTTTACAGAAGAACAATATCTCAATGACATTCATGAAGTCCAGTCAAAAAAGAGCTGAGCTGTAATGAGAGCTAGAAAATTGCACTTCATGTTTGAACATGTGATCAAATTGTTCAATTCCTCTTTTTATTTAGAAGATTTGTACCCTATTTTTCCACTACAGAATAAAATACAATGCATCTTGAATCAAAAATACCTTTCTTTAGAAAACCTAGTAGCAAAAGCTATTCTTGAAATGAAAGGGAGCTTTTTCTACTGAGCCACAATTGTGCTTAAAACCAGAGTTGGAAATTAACCTTGAATTTAGAAGGAAGAACCTGACAAAAGATCATTTTGTGCCTTCATGTGTTAGGTCTGCAATTCAAGGAACTCCGTTCCATTTGCTGGACATGCTGTGGTATTAGGCATGAGGGAAAAGATGGACCAGAAAAGGGTTCCTATGAAGGCGAAAAACATTGGTAATTCCCAGGTAAGTAGCAAACACAAAAGCCACAAACAAGGACATTAGGGTGTGAATCACACATGCAGGAACATCAGGTGAGGACTTGCTGCAGAGTGTGTGAACTTCCTTCACTCAAATCTTGTCTTTGAACTGATATGAGATGACATAAAACCTGTATTTGTATGCTTGAAATGCAATGGTTTTTCATGCATGCATGCATGCCATCATTTGATGATACAGTTATCAAATGATGTGTGAACGTATCCTTCTATCCTCAATCAGTAATGTGAATCCTTTAATACAGCTACTACTTGTCGATAAATCCATCTTAAATATTTTTGCACCTGAAGCATCTCAGTTTTTAAATATTGCACAGAGATTAAGATTAGAGGCAGGAAAATGGCACTTATTCTGAAATCTGTCACTCAAGGCACACTGATTTGGGTCATGAAAAGCCCATGTTCTGCAATTAATCTGGAGCTGAGAGGATTGCCTGATCAGCTACATCCCATTTCTCACAAACATTCCTATGAGAAGAACATTGCTATGCTTGAAAAACTAGCCTAGTCTAGAACTCTTTTCTGTAGTTCTTTGCTGGGGTAGAAGCAGTCAATCATGTGAGC